GGGCCGGGATGGACCCGCAGCCCCCGCCGCAAACCCAGCTCCGGGGAGGGAGCTCAGCCTCAGCACCTCTGCTTTCCCACGCGGTCCCTGACCTCCGAGTCAGAGGTCGCGGATGTTACCAACTAAAAAGGGAAAAACCAGCTGCATTTTACCTTTCTTCTGCAAGGCTCGGTGTTGCATGGCCCTTACACACGTGATGAGCTTATAAACAGCCTCCTCTACACCTGGATTCATATTCTGTTCAGCTGTGACAGCCTCTCCTCCTCATCCATCACATCCTGCCCTTTACAATGAGGAGTTGGAAGGAAAAACCCCAACCCAGGCACACCCACGTTGCTCTCGGTTTAAGAGTCACACTGTTGTATGGGCTCATCCCATAGGCAAAGTACACCTGAAAATGTCAGTGCACTCAGAGCAGTGTTCCTGGTGCAGAGCTACCGGCCTGAAGAAGGCCTGTTTGCACAGAGAAGTAAAGCCACAGCTTGGAGGTTACTTTGCACTGCCCATGGCTGTAACGACTTCCTTTAAGAGTCAACTTTTTTTGAGAATGTTTTCCCTAATGCTTGTTTTTCCACAGAAAATTATTCTCCATCTGTGATTAAAAGTACCATCTTCACACCTACTGCATCAAGGGAATTATTTAGGGGGCCATTTAAAAACTAGGGGTGGTTTTTTTTGTGTTTGCTGGTGGTTTTCTAGATTTTGGTTGTGGTGTTCAGTAGTTTTTGCAGTATTTTTTTTTTTAAAAAACCTGAAGATGTGCAACCACAGGAGCAGAAAACACTCTACAAGTTAACACTTTTTGAAGAAGTTAACTTTATCCATTTTAGAGTTCTAAATAGCTATATTTTCTAAGAATAATTGGAATTTAAGTATGCAATAAGATTATTCCACTAACAAACTATGAAGTAGCAGATCCCATTCCTAGATCAGCTTTCCTTATTCTGCTTTTTACTTCTCCTCTCCAGCAGGACATGCAGTGCCTACCCTGCTCACCCCGTAAGCAGTTCTTACTCATGAAAGCTGCGCAATGCAAGAACTCCACAGCACCTGGACCTTGCTCAGCCGTTCTCTTTCCTGTGAAGGTCTGACTGACAATGAAAGGGAATGTAACCAGACTCCGTTCCACCCCACCACACACCCACCACCATAAAGGAGCTCTCCCACAATAAAAGCCAAAGAAGAAAGCAGCACCAGAGCAATTAATTTTAAATCTGGTGGCACTAGATGGCCTAGCTTTGGAGAGAACATTCACGTCTTTCATGATAGGGTTACCATAACATAGCCATTAAAACCCTGTAATTCTAAAACATAATCCATAGCTGATAGTTTATCACTTTAGAACAGATTTCAATTACAGGTTTAAAGTAGCAGAGAAAAACAAAACAAGAGGAACCCAAGGCTACATCAAGAAGTCCAAGAGGTTTCCACATTTCTTGCTTGATTTGTCCTACATTGATGTTCCTAAAGAGTTCACCTGAAATTAAGGAGTGAACGAATCTCCAAACCATATGAAGTCTGTTACTTCCCCCTTTCCTTCCACTGGCTTAGAAGGATTACTGCCAGATACCTTTGTGCCACACCATCCGTACAGCACATCTCCAGGTGAAACACCAACCACTGCTTTCCAGGGGGTTTTGCCCCAGTAGAACTTTTTCTTTCTCCTGCTTATCAAGTCTAGACAAAGTGACTACTTTTGACTACTGCAATCAAAGTCATCTTCTGAAAAGCAATGACTAGTTAGTTGCTAGGAGAGGTGGTATGTGGAAAAGCGAACAAAAGTCATGGGAGGACTAAAGCATCAGTGAGTGAAATGCTTGTGAAAGTCACACTTGTCCCCAGAAGTCAGAGGACACTTGAGACACCCACAATCTTGGCTCAGAACTGGGGGCACAAAAAGAACTCTAAAGACCTAAGGGCAAGAGTTTGGCTAACTATTAGATACTGCAAGAGTGTGATGCAACAAAATCTAAGAGGCAGGAAAAAATCTGAGACAAATTAAGTGTAATAAAACATTAAGTCAAACAAAAATATTTCACTTTCACAACAAGTTTAATCTCAAGATCCTTCCAATTTGCACAAAGCCTGAACTTAAATACATATATACTTCAAGTGGACAAAAAAGCTGACCCTGCAGTTTCAATAAGCAAGTGTCTACTGTGCTCTATGAACAATAATTTGGTATTCCTTAGTAATATCACCACTGGATTAGTCAGCAATGACAACTAGGTATCAACTACATTTTAGAGAAATACTGAAAATTTGTTAATAATTTGATTTAGTATTTTTGTCATATCCCAGAATGGGACTTTTCTATTATGATGTTCCTATTATGATATAAAAAAACTTGACGGGGTAGAAATCCTCACAACATAGCTACAGACAAAACAGCTCTAATACAATTTACTTCAAAACAATATTCACAGATGTATATTACACAGCATAAATGTAAATAAAGAACTGTGCACATTTAAGTGAGAGAACTACTATATGCAGACCAAGACAAGACTCAGCCTTTAATCATACTGAAACCAAGTTTAAGAAGAATTTTCAGTTTTTCAAGTAAAATTAATGGTACCAAAGTTGAAGTAACCAATGACAATTTCAAATGTAAGTTTTGAGAATAGACTCATAATGCAATGGCCATTCCATGAAGTTATGTGCATTCAACTGCAAAAAGCAAAAAAGCTTAGCAGCACACAATGGTATAAAACAAGGAACACAAAATTTAGCTCGCAGCTTTGAAATCCTTGAAGTTACATGCTTATTTCACAATAACAATCCAAGCATACAGATAAATACAGGTACTTAAACAGCAGGATTTCTACAAAGCAACTGTCATTTTTCATCTGACAAATACAGTTGCTCTTCAAAAAAAAGAAAAAATGCAGCAACCTGGTATACATACAAATGAAATGGCACATGAGACTTAGTGGTCCAACAGTTTTTTCATTTCAGTGAATCCATCTGGATTTCCATACTTGTTTAAAAGGAAGAGTAAGATTTGTTCATGCTTTTTAAGCTGTGGAATAAGGAGAAAAAATTAGAATTTTTTTTAATTGCTGATTTCAGATTAGGGTAGATCCTAAAGTTACAAACTCATTTAAGTCCCATATTAGTTCAATAAATATACAGTTCCTTTCTGCTGTAAAATCTTCTGGAGGGGGGGGAAAGCCAGCAGAATTGTAGCTGACTTCCCCTCACCCCATCTTCCTTCCCCCCTTTTCCATCCCAAAGAAAAAACTTCCCTGAACCAAATTGATGAAATTACTCATTTTAGGACTGAGATCAGGATCTTAAATTTGGTTATTCACGCATCTGTTTCATTATGTTTTCAGTTATATGGGAATCTTTTGTCTTCTCTTCATCTGTCATGAGACAGAGCCAAACTTGCTTGGGTAAAGAAGGATGGCAGGAAACACAGTGACCGAATTGAAGTCAGAAAAGACATTAGTTAGATCAAGCTGGAAGATTAAAGAGCTATAGAGGGGGAAGAGAAAAGGAGGTTCAACAGCCTACAGTGGGACAGAGAAATCAACTATGTTCAGGAACGGCATAGTTTTACTGCCTTTCTGCCACTAAATGGCCTGGTATCTATGCTTACTCTGAAGCAGAACAGAAATGCTCTTTTCCTACCTCGAAAATATCATAGTGCATATTTTTGCTTTTGACCATGCTGCCTATGGCTGAGGGGAGAAGAGGAAGTTCAAACCACCCTTGAAAGGCGTTTCCATCTTTAAAATTCAAAATTTTGCTTATTCTTCTGACAAAGATCCTCACTTCAAGAAAGGTTGATGCATCTTTTCTGGTATACTTCAAGTTACTTCTAGTAATCTAACATGCTAATTTTTCATAAATAGCTTAAGATAAGTTAGAAAGCTTAAAACCAGAAAACTTTCAAAAGTTACAGGAATATGCAATATCTGTAAGAAACACTTCATTTTTTTTTTTTTTAAATGAAAGATAAATCTTGCAACTGACAAACACTGTTACAAATTCCAGTATTCTACTGAAGTCAGATTCTAAGCCCTAGTTTCATGACTGAAACTGTGGCACATTAATATTAATCTCTGCTACCTGATATAAACATTGTAAGAATTTTCTTAGACATGCAGCTGTCTGCCAAGTTGCATCCACAGCAAAACACTGGCATATTACTGAAAAAATCCCACTGCTCTTTCTCCAAAGGACACGGTTTATGCAAAAAACCAGCAACTACCTTTACACAGACAAAAGAAACACTCCTGAGCCTTCATACTCTAGAAAAAAAAAGAGCTGTATGCATGGCAACACACAGACTAATGAAGTCTTTGTGATCTATACACTATCCTACCTCAGTTTCAGCGTGCTCTAATTATTACCATGTATGAAACAAATTGAGAAGTGTCGAGATATTCACTTTGCCTATCTTCAATGCTTCAGTTAGCTATTATCTTTTTACTCCCATTTGCTTCCCACATAGGGTTTGTTTTAGATTCTGGAAACAAAAAAGCAAGCATTGCTTGGACTGAATCTTACTTGCATTTTTAATTCTGTGCAGCAGCATTTGGTCTCACCTCCATTGCCTACAAAAAGAGAAGTGAATGAGCAAAATACACATGGATACTGCTTCTATAACTTAAGGGGTGACATGTGGAATCCTCTAAGATTTTTGCAAGGAAAGGTCACTTAGGCATCCCATGTGTCCACAGTTCTTCAAATTAAGTTTGAATTAAGAAGTAATTAAGTGAAAGTACATACCTGGATCTTCAGTATGTAAGTTTTCACTCCTGCAGGATTTGACCAAACCTTCCAGTACCAGTTTGTCAGCTACATTCAGACTACCATTTTCACAGAATTTTTCCACTGTTACTAAATTAACATTTCCATTAATCCCTTTCACTGTAATTGTGACATATTTATTCAATAACATTTCTTTCAACTTGTCAAGTAATAATGGAGACCACTCAGTTTTCTCTATTCCTGAAAAAAAATTAGTACAATCAAGTTTGTTCTATAAAGAATTTCTTTATGATGTGACTTGAATCTTGCAAACAATGCTATCACTGTTTTTGAAAATATGACACTACTTTCCTAAGATAAATAGCTTAGATTCTACAGATAATTAACCAAAAAGATACTATTTATCTAAAAAAGCTTTCACAGTATTAACCAGTATATTGTTTCAGCAGATTTTCATGTTTGTCAGTATTAAGAAGTGGACATTATCATCAGGATAGATACAGACTTAATAGTGTTCTAGGAAACAAATAGCCAAGGGTTTTTTGGGGTAGGTTTTGTTTGGTTTGGGTTTTTTTTTTACCTGCAAGTGAACACGTAATTGTCTGAAAAGGCAGCTTTAGGTAGGAATCAGTGATTGGCAGCACCTTGGAAAGTGGCAAAGTTTCTGTGTTCCCATAGTCAGCATATAGTACTTTCACTACAGACTGAGAAGCTTTTAGAACAAGAGCTCTGTGCCAACGGCCATCACCTGAAAAGATTGGGACAAGAAGAATCACATGTGAAGTACCATCTTATAAACACAGCTTATCCCAAGAACAAGAATCTGTATAGTTTTCCAGGAATTTTTAAATACTCTGGTATATACAAAAGGCCACTTGAGAAGAAGCAAGTCTATAGAACAAGGGAATAGTTTCTGATTGCTGTATTCATAAAGATTTGTCTTGCTTTCAGAATTTTGCCCAATTACACAGATAAGAGTTTTACTAAATTGCTCTTTTATGGATATCTGCATACTGTATTTCCAGCCCCTTACCCTTGTTTTTGAATACATATTCCCTCCCAAAACATAACCAAAATTAAAAAAAATCCTTTTTCCTCAATTATCCTGAAGAGCCATAAACAACAAAAAAAATCAAAAAATCAGCGGAAGTTAAAAACAACTGTCAAACATGTAGGTATACTCTTGTGGTCTGCCTAGAATTTTTTAATTCATCTATCGTGTTTTCCATGAGCTGTTATCTGATCTAGCACCCACATTCATTCTCAGCACTTAGCAAGATCTGCTGGAACAACCCACATGCAGTCAACATTTAATGAGTCAAGACTGCTTTATTTTTTAAATATCAAGCTAATATCAGAGTACCCCCTCTTCTGAAAGACTAAGACAATAAATTAAGTTCCCTCACTGTTAAGAGTACTTTTGACTTGAACTAACAGTTCATTAAGCATGGACAGCTTGTTAGGCTAACAAGGCTGAACGATCAGTTGTCACAGCCAGTGTCACCACCCCATGCAACACACACCCAGGCACCCCCAAATCAGAAGGGATTCTGTATAGATGCAAGCACACTATTGCTCTCCCACGAATTTCGTGTCCCTGTGACTCAGAACAGCACAAACAAATTTCAGTTTCAACAGTAACTCACTGTTCTTTCCTCTTAAAGCTCCATACATTTTGGAGGGCACAACCTATACCTTATTTTCTCTCCCAGACTGTCATATGGTTTCTTTGACCTAAAGATGCAGCCAGGCTATCCTTTGTAACAGAATTAAGAGATCTGTAAGCACTTTAAAGCTGGCTTTTTTCCTCCTTCTAAAGCAAAAACAAAAAGTTGTGTTTTACACTCTTCAAGGAAATATAAAAATGAACAATTGCCTCACCTGAAAACCTGGCACAACAGGCTTCACCCAGTTTTGGTTTAAAGGACTGGTTCTTACAAGATTTACAATAACCTTCTAGTTCAATCAACTGCCTATGTAGCCTCTCTTGATCTACAGGGAAAAAAAAACATTTGATAACTAACCACATTTGGGTACAATGAAGAGCACACTCAGTTTTAAGCTCCCCTGCTCCCACCATTGGCATTTTTTATATTTTTCTACTGTCCAAGCTACATTTCCACATGGTTCAGTTCACTACCAGCATTCATTTTATTATCTAGCTTGCAACAGTGACTTCTTACTGGTACTACAAAGAGTGAACACTTTCTTACCTTTAGTTTGAACTGGTACAGCGTAAAACAAATCTGGGCTTACAACTTCTGTTACACAGACAGATACGGTTTCATCTATAGCCAATTCAATTGGCTTCCAGTGCCCAAGTGAGGTTTCTAATAGAAACAGTAGGAAAATACAGTGTACTACTTTCCTCCAAGCACATACATACCATAAATAACTGTTACAGATCATCTTTTTGAATTCTAGAGACAAACACATGTCTTTATGAACAGCAAATTAGATTTCTTGAACTATTAGCACATATAAAAGTAGCTAAAGTAAAAGAACATCTCAGAAAAATAAGATATTGGAAAGTAAACATGGGAAAAGTTTTAGTGAGCAAATTTGTAACTCTACTGTCAAATATTCAAATAGGATTCATTTAAGACAACCCCAGTGATTTTTATCTTTCTCTTTTTGTCTATAATGCCACTTGCAGGACAGCTTGTGTTTAAAAACTCACAATATAATATCAATTAAAAACATGCATAGTTTTGATTAACTATAGTTAAACAGCAAGATCACAGTTAAAGGCTGGAATGCTGAAAATTCTTGTTGAATCTTAAAGTTAACATTCATTTAATTACCTTTTTTGTCAACAGACTTGTTTGGAAAGTTCTTTTTATCTTGTAGAACTTCCTTTACAGCCAATTTTTCAGACATTAATATCTCATTAATCACTTTTGGATGACCTGTGGAATTGTCAATAAGCTCTACACCTGCCCCATCTCTGGAAAGGGAAGTTACTCTGGCTTGGAGCTTTATCCCTGCAGTGTACATATGAAATCTTGCTGTAGCTTCTGGAATCCATTTGCTATCACCAGGTTTTATACCTAGGAAGTAGGAGAACTGTTCAAAATATCTCCATTAAGTGACTTTCTTCCACATTATATTTTCCTTTTAAAAAAAATTTTTTTTTTTTAAAGCACAACTTGAAGTACCAAGCCTACTTTTACTACTTCAGGGATACAAATTGTACTTAATCCTGTTAACTGGTCATCGTCTTCCTCCTTTCTTCTAAGAACACATTTCCTTAAGAATCCCAAATTTTGTTTTCTACATTTTATGATACTCTACAAAGTAAATCCTTGTGCCTCAGCACAAACAGTGCTGTTAAGACTGTTTATGAATCAGTTTAATATAGCCTTTTTATCAGAGGAACAGAAAATCAAAGTGTTTTAAGAGACAAAAACCAGCAGAAGATGCCTTGATAAAATGTGGTTGTGAGATTTTTCCTATTTCCACATTATTTTAAACCAAGCAGACTGCATTAGAAAGAAAGAATAATTCTGTAGAATTCTGAGTGTTCTGGTGTGGAAAAGGAAGCAGCAGCAAATTGGTAGAAGACTGAGAAAGAGCAGTACAATGCCAAACTCTACAGCAATCAAATGAAACATCCCTACAGAGAACTGAAAGGCCAACTCGCTTCATAAAAAACAGATGAGCTCCTTTGCCTGCAAAAATTTTGAGAAATATTAAGTTGCACAAAAGCATATTTACTCCTAGCAAGGCAGCAACCAAAAGCTAGTAAGCACTACAGATAAAGCAGAACTTTATGACAAGTTCCCTTTGGTCAATCAGTAACCTCCATGCAGATCACTCCACAGCACTGTCAGGAGCTCAGGGAAGAGCCACCACCTTTCTTTTCTGCTAAATGCCAGTCTGTTTTGTAGCGAGGCTAAAACAATGGCTCCCACAATTGCCAGAGGCTGGAAGCAACACAGACATTTATTAAAAAAACCAAAAAAACAAAAAGAAACCTCCAAAATCACAGTTCTGTGAAATATACTGTGTCATCACCTCCTTCCCCTAAAGCAGCAAGTCTCTGCAATATCTCTTACAAGAGCAAGAGCCAATAAGAAAATCCACCTGAGAGCCAGCATTTAATTCCTTGAAACGGAAGCTTTAGGAATGAGGATGAGATGTGCCGTATTTTATCCAGTGGTACTTCCTCCACATTTCCGTAGTCCACGAAGCATACTTTAACAGTTCCATCTGAAGTAACATTTTGCACCAAAGCACGGTACCAGTTACCATCATCTATTTTAGAAATTAAAAACAAACAAAAAACTTCACATGCTTAATAAATTTACCAGCATTTATTTTTTTAGTAAATAAATCCATTCTTTGCTATCTTCTACCAATGCAAACTATCAGATATTAATTTTTTTTTTATGTTCACCCTTTAAGTCTGTTACTTACCAGAGAAAAAAGCACAGCAGGGTTCTCCATTCTCAGGCTTAAAAACATTTGGTGGCGTTTTCTGACAGTATTCAGACAATGATTTGTTAAGTAATTTTAGAGCAAGTAACTCTGAAAATTAGAAAAACAACACAGACGAGATCAACAAAATAAGCTGACTTGAACTTTATTAATACTGTTCACTTTATAGCTTACTTATAAAAAAATTTGATGGGAGTGTCCCAAATTTTAGAATTTCATAAAAAACCCTGTTGACACTACGTTAAGTATTTAACTTACTAGACAGACTTATTAGCAGGAAGAGGTGAGATAGCTGATGTTAACTGACAAATTAGTTCGGTACGATAACAAAATGACCAATAATTCTTCCTACTAATCCAACAGGCACCCTTCACTCCAAAATCTAAAGTACATTTTACAGCCAGATAACACCACAGGAATAATCTAGTTCAGCCAGTGCATATCACAGATTATGGGATCTCATCCTGCTTGCTTATTTATTTTTCATATCAAGTCCTTTAGCCTGCTTTATAACATCACTTTCAGGGAGGAATTCAGTCATGTTTTAAAGGTGATACACCACGAAGAATCTGTACAATCCCTAGATAAGTCAAGGGATTCACTTTTTAAGGTCTGCCCTATATTTTTGGTCTGAATACATTTAGCTTCCACTTCACTGATTTTCATCATGCTCTTTTTCTAGCAGGTTAAAAAGCCAGTGACTATCATAAGTATTTATACATGCAAATAGAAGAACAAAAAAATTTTTAGCTTATCCAAGAGCAAGTTAAGTCTCAAAAGCTGTGGTTTCTTATTTTCATGTTATCTCTTTTGAATCTTTAAGTTTTTATAAATTAGGACAGGGTACTAGAAGACAGCTCCAGTAAATATTGTATGGGCACAGGAGACATGTCTCATTTGCTATCTTCTGTTTAGATATCCTTTGCCTAGGTTATGGTAGCTCTTTTCACTTTTCTCTACATTCTTAAATTTTTTTCAACTGCTTACCTTCAACGTTTTCAGATTTCAGAGTCACTACATACCATGATCCAATTTCTTCATCATTCCACTTGTATTCTTAGTTACAAAAACTCAAGAGGTAAGCCTTGGTGCTATAAGCTGACTTGAAACAGTAATGCATTAGAACTATAATAAATGACAGATCAGGAAGCAGAGAAGCTAGCAGAAAAGAAAGCTGAATAAACTTACCGCTGTTATTTGAAATCTGACAGTAGAATTCTCCAGGATTGTACAGTGTACACACTACGACATCTACTGTTTGTTTAAGAGTTAATTTACTCCACTTGCAAATTCTTTTGTTCACTGTGTCCTCTAGAGATGAAAGAGAGGAGAGATGTACAGGAAGGAAGAGAAATTAAATTAATTTTTACAGGAAAAAAATTACATATATCTTGAATGTTCTTTCATATCCTCAATTTTCTTGTTATAAATATTCCGAAAGACTAATTACCAGTGAGACCCTCTTTACAGAGTAACAGCAAGTAAGAGAAGTGTGCCAGTTGCTTAATGTATTTGATCACTACTGAGGGGGGCAAGCCATAGATGAGCGAGGAAGCGTAATCACACAGAGGTATAGGCTAGATGGCCATAACCTGACCAAGAGGGACTCTGGGAAACCTTGGTTCCCTGGAAACAGGCTAGGGGGCACAGAAGAACGAAACAGCTGTCACCAAGAGTACTGGAAATGGTCTAAGGAGAAGAAAGAACAAAAAGATTAACAGAAAGACTGGTTGCAGAAATTTGCACTGTGTATTATACTCAAGTACCTTAAAGAAACTTACTATTTAACTGAAGTTGTAGAATAGATCATATGATAACTAAACTATGACACACTGGAAAAGCCATCTTTTCCACCATTTGCATATTATTAAATCTTCCTGTATTTTTCATAGCTGTTGTTACAGCTTGTGGTAGGCAGCAGTATGCAGAAATACTGTCAGATTTTTCAAGACTTGAGTGCAAGTAGTTGGCCTCTGACTTTGGTAGACCTTTCCAGTTCTAAGAGTTTGGGGTGATTTTTTTCCTGAAAGTGAATCTCAAGAAAGCTTTGAGCTTCAAGGATGGCCACACTGAGATGCTGTTCCACCTGCTCAGTATTGTGTCGGATGGTAGGTTACTTTAGAAAAAGTCATATTGCCAACAGGCAAAGAAAAAACCAAACACAAAACAGCCACCCCTTCTCCTCCTCCTCCCCCCGTCAAAAAATAATTATCAAAATAGGCTCTAAAGTCTTCTTTATTGTCAGTAGAATACGTAAGTGTCCTTCACACAGCAACTGCCAGATCCCTACTCGAAGGGACAGAGCACAGTTGGCATATTTTGGGAAATATGCCCAAAGAATTAGAAGCTGGTTGAATTTTCCACTGCAGAAGGAAGAAAGATTGACAAGAAAAATAAAGATTAACAAATGGCTCAAAGTTTAGAGAAAGCTTTAGCATGCTTAACAACTGTGAAGTGATTTTTTTATTCTTCCATGTAATGGTGAAATTTCTTCTAACTAGTCCTCTAAACCAAAATAAAACATTGTTTCTTAATTCCTGGCAAGTTAATGAAGAGCTACTCTTATACCATGCTGGATCCAACAATTACAGATTTAATCACTAAATTGAAATAAAGCAAGTAAATTAATGAAAAAATATTTCACAACTTGACAGAGAAATGTATCTGTTCAAATTCCAATATAAAACCCACAAGTTTTAAAACACTTGAGACAAAAGTTGATAATCTGTTTAGAACCTGCATTCAAAAGCTTCCACTCAGCGTGAGAAATTAAACAAAGGTGAGAAGTAACTAAGAAACTTAAGAACAAAACATCCAGGATGGCAGCCATAGATCAAAATGTGTTTGGATATAACCATGAAAGCTGCTGTTCATTTGAATTTCATACAAGATTCCTTACCCTTCTCAAAGATTATAGAATAGTTTGGGTTGGAAGGGACCTTTAAAGGCCACCTAGTCCAACACCCCTGCAATATGCAGGGACATCTTCAACTAGATCAGGTTGCTGAGATCCCCATCTAGCCTGACCTTGAATGTTTCCAGGGATGGGGCATCTACTACCTCTCTGGGCAACCTGTGCCAGCATTTCACCACACTCATTATAAAAAAAGTTATTCCTTGTATCTAGTCTAAATCTACCCTCTTTTAGTTTAAAACTGTTCCCCCTTGTCCTATCACAACAGTCCCTGCTAAAAACATTGTCTCCATCTTTCTTACAAGCCCCCTTCAGGTACTGGAAGGCTGCACTGAGATTTCCCTCTAGCCTTCTCTTCTCCAGGCTGAAGAGTCTCATGGCCAGGACATGAGACATCTAGTGAGAAAGATCAAAATTAAGGGATTTGGACATAGCCTTGGCAAAAAGGCTTCCCCCAGTTTTCAGTACAGCTAGATCAGGAGAGAATATGTAGTTTTACTAGACACAAGATGGAAAAGAAGAGAGGCTTAACATGCTTTCTATGAGAGAGGCTAGGGATCTTCCGATAATACAAAGAAATCTGACATAGAATTTGCAAATCTCTCGAATTCATGCTTTGGTCACTAAATGCAAAAAAGGCACTTTAGGCAGAGCCTTGAAGTTGTATAGGTTACTGCAGTCAAACAAGTTTTCAAGGACTAAACATGTGGGTTTAGGTGTAAAATACAGGACAATGAAGATTAAATACTATATGAGCTAAAGGACAAGGGCATAAGAACAAGCAGGTACTAACTAGTCAGATCTTACTTCAACTGGAAATTGTAAGACTTCTAACCAGAGAGAGTGAAATACTAGTGTGGTTATCCGAAAGCAATCACATCTTTGTTATGTCTGCACACACACACAGCACCACACAAGCAAACACGCCATTTCTTCATGGCAAAGTTGCCATGGCTAAACTTCAGAGCTGTGAAGGTCAGACTTCATGAGCCAGACTGGAAAGTTCTTACTAATTAAGAACTTGCACTCTTATAGGAGGTTAAGTAACACCAGATTAGCAGGACGTGCTTGTACTCACCATTTGCTTGCTTAACATGGCTCATTCTGATTGCTGGTAAGGCCATCCTTGATTCCTCAGCTGCATAGCCTGTCTCTATGAGATGGCTCGATATATTTATTACTGGAGTAATCGATGCATCTACAAGCTCCACCACAGATCTATAACTCTCTTTATCCACTACTTTTATTGTGAACACTTTGTCTTTCACCAGTTGTTTCATAAAAGAAATAGCTTTTGAGGTCCAGGCTCCTAATGGTGGCTTTACCCCTAAAAGGTCACATAGTATGGAAAGGTTCTGAGGATAGTCCAAGTCTCAACAATATGTGGAAAGGTACAACACTGTTTAAAACAATAGATTAAGCAGCAGATACACCAAGTAACTCACTCCCACTCCTCATGCTTGTAACAAGATTCCAAACCCAATTATTTAGATTCTGAATATTTGTAGTACTTGGATTTAATAAAAAAACTCAAAGATCATGTACAACTAGTCTAGTACACAAAGAGAAGTGCAAATTCAAATTTAATAGTTCTTTAGTATGAATGTCTAAGAAGTGTCTGTCTGCGTCTCATGCCTAGACCCTATAGTTTTGAACATTAACCATCTGTCAGCCAATGCATCTGCTACTATAAGCTGCTTCTCCTTCAACATTTACTCTGAAGGCTACTAAGTATATTTCTAAACTGTAAGTTATAACCAGAACTTTATAGTAACAGACTGGCAGAAGTTGCCTTCCAGAAAGGTATATTTACACAGCAGCAATCCTTGACTCTAATCAGGAAACATCTTATCACTTTGTGTCCATGCTGTGTTTAGGACCTTTCCTAGAACATTCAGTAGCAGATATAGGCATCATGATTTTCCCCAGAAAAGTGATTTCTTTAGGTCACATTCTATATGCGTCATTTCCATCTCTACATACAAGGGAAACATTGTTTTATGTTTTCCTCTAAAGAAAGAAGATAATACACTGCTCTAAGTTTTACCAAAAAATTTGAAAAGCAGTTTAAATATCAAGTATTGTAAAGGAAGGACAGACAACAAGTATTCTAAAGGAAGGGTACTGAAGCAAAGGGGTATACCATCTTGCATAGTGATGGGAACAGAGAAAATAAGCAATTTCTAACAGCAGGTTAAACAAGTATGTCAAAACCAGATTATAATCCTGGCTTGAGACAGAAGGATACACTAGGAAGCATCAAAGTCCTTTCCAACTTGACAGATTTCACAAGCCTATGGAGAAGAGTCTACCAGTAATTTCACTAGATTTGCCCCAGAGGAAGCGATAGGTACAGTTCTGAACTTCAATATATAAAATGAAATTTTACTTCCCCCATAACGTTAGAACCACAACAAAATTTAAGAATTCCACAAATCCAGTAGGTGACTGAATTTTCCTTAGAACAAAAGCACATGCAAAACTTAACAAGTATGTTAATATAAACACAGTTTTCCAAACATACAACTGGAGGTCACCAAGTACGTTAGGAAAGATTAATCATGTTGTGTAGATATGCCGCAACAATCAAGAACTGTGGAACTAACACTCTTATCTCCACCCTCCCTCATATTTCAATATAAGATACTACAGATGTGATCATAGTATCTAACCCCACTTATTTTGCCTCTATCCAGTTTGAAACAGCTTATCATTTGTTTCATACCTGCCAAGGTACATCTTATGGCTTGAGCTGGCAAGTCCATTAATCTTGGAATCATAGGACGAAGTCTATTCAGTGGAAGAACTTCAGAATTACCATAATCTATATAGCCCACCAAAAGAGTATCTTCAGAAACATATGCTATAGCAGCAGCACGATACCAAAGATTGTCTTCTAGAAAGGAAGATACAAATATTGATTGTACTTTAACATCTGAGAACAGAGTAATTGTTTTGGGCAGACAACTATAGAAACACAATATCAATCTTAACAGTTCACATAAACCTTTACAAAACCCTTATGGATGCCACACACGCCCCTGGTATGAGTTGAGTGTTGCACTCTCATTCTTTCCATAAAAACCCAATCCCCTCACAAATACATATTGCAACAAAGAATTACCTACATTATGTGGATGTGGTGCTTGAGTTCAATACATTTAAACAAACAGCAAACAGTATCTCAGCTGACCACAATGACATGCAATTCAAAGGCCACAAAACAGATCTAATAATTTAAGTATTTTAATTCAATTAAAATATTTGAGAAACAGAAATACAAGCTTACTCAAGATTATCAAGATGTCTGAGGTACTGAACTGGTAGCATTCCCTAGCTAGGCACCTAGACCATCGCCCATTCAAATGCCAAGACAGCTTACTGGCAGTACTAGCTTTTTCTGAATATGCAAAAGCAGCATCTATTTCAGCTTATTTGTTCAGTCTCACAGCTAATTTATCCAAAGCAGCAAAACCACAGGAAATAGAAAGAAATAAGTGACCAGGAACGTTTATCAGTCACAAAAGTTATAGCAGCAATGTGTGGAGGTTGGGTTTTTTTCTTGTTAAAAGCTGGATGAAAATGAGAATTATCTGTAAGAAAAAAAAAAAAAGATATTCATCTTCATCCTACTGCCCTCAGGCAAACAGGACTTCAGATTCTAATAAAGAAAAGGTATTTCTTTTATATAGACTTACCAATTCCTAGCACAAAACGCTGCTTTATGCAGAATACTAGCTTATGTTTAGGCAAGATTCAATTTTATCATGAGACTAGTAGAAACTTGATGTCAGTGATAACTGACAGGCAGAAACTAAGTTACAAACATACAATTCAGGACTACTAGGTCTTAACTAAATAACATTTTGAGAAGCTGTCTATCAGAGCAGCTTCATTACATATAATCCCATTTCTTCTATCCCTTTTTGGGGTCTAAAATTCCAAGTTGGTAAACAGTGCTCACCAACATATAAAAAGTCCAGATTTCTTCCTGGTCTCTTAAAAAGCTCCTTTATAAAAAACCGAACCCAGTGTTTGCTCAATGAAGGGAGCATTTTATGGTCTTTTTTTAAACTAGTATTTTGTAGATGTCATTATTAGCTATTAATAATTTTTTAAAATCACTACCAAATGCTAGCCACAGCTAAAACCAGACACAAGTAAACTCTATATGAAACATGTCTAAACATAATTATAAAATGTGATTTTGTAATAAATTAAAGCAACATAAATTCCCTCCGTTATTACCTGTGAACTGGGCACAGCATACATTTCCAGCAGCAGGACGGAAAGCTGGACTACTGGCAAATTTGTCACAATGTTCATTAAGAGACATCTGAAGCTCAGCAAGTTGACCTGATGTTAAAAATATATAGGTTTTGGAACATACACTGTATTGTAATTACTACAAAAGTACACAAACTTTAAGTTCAAAGCCTGGAAGAACATCTTGTAGTATAATGGAGATTATTTCACATAATGTGTAGCGTAATACCGAACTAGTGATAAGACTAGGTCTCTTCAATCAGCAAGATCAAAGAGAGTCCTCACCTGAGTCTGAGGAATCACAGTGTTAAAGGGAACAGACAGGGAAAACCAGTCAGACTTTTTCAACACAAGAACAAAACTGAAGCCAGTAGGAACTGACACCAAGGTAGTGGAGGCAAGAAACCAAGGAAGACAGCTTTTCAAACAGGCAGATGACAAGTGCCACTTCTTGCCAAAGGATGTGCTATGCTATGAGTCTACCCAGAATTCAAAGGCTGCACAAGTACACAGAAGAGAAATCCACTGTAGGAGATACACCAGATCACATCCAGATGCAAAAGCCCTTTTAGCTGAAAAATATGCTAGCTCAGGTAGTGCTAGGAAGACACACCCCACAAACTTACTCTGCTCTAATTCTCCCCAGATATCTGCTTATGGGCACCGTGGGAGATACACCAAAAGTCCCTGCAGCCCAGCACTCTCGCCCACTATAATGTTACTTATGGTTTTACGTCTTACTGTATCAGAAGACACCAAAGCAGGGATTGGGCACTATGATCCGGCCCTCTCATACTCAGATATTCTTCCCATACTATGTAACAAAGAAGTTCAGTCCGCACATCCAGTCTCTATGAAAACACTTCCCTCCAGTGGTAAAGCAATAACACATCACAGGAATACACAAAGTCATTAGAAACTCACACACATTTCTGAAACATGTGACAGAATGCATTTAACATTAAGTATTTGTGAAACAAATTGACTTCAGATTGCTAAAAACGGTGCCACACCATATTTCTACTTTGCACTACTCAGACTGCCCATAAGTTATCACCTTACAAGTTAGTAATTGATATTAATGGTGCCAAAAACCTCCTCTACAACACCGTGGCTCTTAACTGACTGAGGCATGGCCCAATGCTACAGGGAATCACCATTTCAGGTCAAACTACAAGACCAGCAACACCTCCCTCCAACCACTCTACTGAAGAGAAAAATGCCATACTAGGTATCTTGCATCCCATTTTCAACACTTCACTTACGGGCACTGTGTATCTGCTGACAGAAAAAGTCTTCTGGATTTTGAATGCAGGAAACCACACCAGAAAATGCATCTCCAATACATACAGAGACACACTCTGCAACCGAATGAGCAGAGTGAAGAAATTCTTCATCTTCAGGTATTTTTTCTTTACTTCCCTTAGAATGGTTTTCTGACACTGTACGTTAAAAAAAAAGGTTACTGATCAAAAGCTAGATGACTTTGATATGTGCAACCTCACCAGCCAGGATTCAGAGACTTAAACGTGCTAAATTAAACTACAAAATTTAAACACTGAAGAAGTTTATTCTTTTTGCTGACTCTTTGGGCTTTGAAGGCTCCTGTCATATTATCCATCAATGGTCACATAATCATCACTAAACAAATACTTTTTAGTAGCATAAAGTATGTGTGCTACTGTCACTAGTGACCTGAAGGAAGCTCCACTAGCCAATGTTTTTAAGTAGGAGGTGATGCTAGTGAACAGCTGTAGTAGGTACTACATTCAGAATATCATGCAACACGGGAGGATTTAAGATTCCCCAACTTTTTTCTGTCTCTTACTAAGAAGTTAGATTTGCTTGCTTACCTCTTAGAGAGCCTGCTCCTTTGGTATTGCTTCCTGGAGTTAAATCAGACCTCATTTCTAAAGGTACTTTATCTAGGCAAGCTCCTAAAACACAGACATAAGAAACAAAGTGATTTACCATAAGAGATAGTAATAATTTGTTTTTATTTCAGAACCATCTTCTGAGCCTGTCCTATATGCCTATCACATGGTGAACATGTTCTACTTATTTGTTAAGCACTTGATATGCTTAGAATGTAAAATAAAAGTAGTTTCAGAGTAACTTAACTACTTGAGTTTTCTGAAGACATTCACGGCTCCAAGACTGTGTGACTATATAAAATGAGCAAAGCAGTAACAATCAACATTTACTCATAGTCATTAAAGACTGTTGGTTGAAAAATTGATTACAGCTTTTCACAAGGATTTGCTACTTACCTCCATATTTACAACAATGAGTATGCAATGAGTTACCAAGATTTACAAAGAAATCTTGAGTTTCTTAGCAATAGCTAAGAACATATTTCATTTCCAATACACAAAGCAGTATGCCAAGCTTTCAATATAATTAGTTTCAACTGAAGACTAGTTTAAGTTGCTTGTAATGTCATACATCCAATATTTCATAAATGCAGTGAGGTATTGGTTTTTTTACTATTTTCTCTCCAAGAGGTTGGCAAGTTATATTGCTTTGTCGTTAGTGTACTGTAAAGCAACCACATGTGAAATATGCCCAGCACAACCCTGAATCAGTTGAATTTACACAGGACTAAGGTGAACCATCATTTTATAGATTGCAGAACTATGGCATGGAGATAAGCTTCCTGCACATTAGGTATTTTAGCAAGCTAAAGACGATCAACCATCACTTCCTTCAAATCTTCTGTGGGCTGCATATCAATGAAAACAGTATGCTCTTAGCACTATATTGTTCTTGCTCTGGAGACAGAAAAAAGACCAAATGAAATAGCTCTCCAAATAATGACAACAGGCACACCTTCTCTATATTGGTCTGGTTTCACATTCAAAATCACCCTCTCAGCTCAACTGAAAATCTGAATTCAGACTCCTCAGAGGTCAGGTGCTCTGCTTGTCTCTATCCATTGAGGCTTGCTAAGCTAGAAATATAAAAAAAATCAGTGTTCTCCAACTAGATAAACAATATCCAGTGGTTGCACTTTCTTTGGGATACTTGTTTAGTGAGCATACACAAAATACAAAAGCTGGTAAAATCCTTAGTGGAACTAGAAACTGATACTATCATTTTTAAAGAGTTAAAAATGCATGAGATAAATGGAACAACATGGTCCCAAATTTGCATGCCTCTTAAAACAGAAAAATAAAGAAAATAATCCAGAAAATGCTGAATTTATTATTATTCTACTGCAAGAGTAACCTTACTAAGATTTAAGGTTATTAAGCATTACAAGATATTGAAGGTACAGACATTTTAAAGTGACATCTATATGGAAAGGTGAAAAAAATAAAAATCAAAAGGCAGGTTGGGAGAGTGACAAGAGGGAAGAGAGCAAAATAAAAACTCTCCTCTTCTTTTAAAAGGTATTGGGGAGGGGTAGGGAGAGCGAACATAAGACTTATCAGTTGTGTTGGTTTTCCCCACACACACACTACCAAGTACTTACCAACACCTGGAAGAACAACATCTACAGCAAAACTCAACATCATTTCTTCCTGTAATACGTCAACAACAGTTACTGAACAGTGCTTTCCCATAAGCTGGGAAGAAATGCTGGCAATGCCTTTGATCCATCCTTTTTCTTTTGGATCATAATTAGCAAAGGAACACTTAATGGCCTGAAAAGAATTAAAATTAGAACAAGAGGAGATTGTTTGCCCTGTAGAAAAAGCAACTAAATAATTAAGGCCCTCAAAAAATACCATCTTGCATATAAAAGTTAAAGCTGCTGTTGAAATTTGAAGCACTATCAATTCAACTAACTTCTTTATAGAGTTAAGAATTAGGAAATTAAATTCAAATTGTAAACTACACTTCCTCTGATTCTCCCACTATTTATGCTCTCTTATGCAAGGCACGGTTGTATCACACATCACATCTGACCACAGGCACATGTCCTAACTTTCCCTCAGCAGACACTGAAGGCTTTACACTAAGATTCAAACAGCTGTCAATCTTTTATGGATCCAGCAGAAAGTCACGTGAACAAGCTATGAAACACTATTCCAATAGCTGCTAGTCCTAGTTGTCACTGGTTGAAATACAACTCTCTCCTCCTTTGTGCATAGTTAAACATGCTAGTTTAACCCACAGATTAAAGCTAGACCATCTATTTTGTAATGGAAGACATTCACACAGTATGGCAATGAACTCAGACCAACAGCTGTACTCCAAACAAAGTTTGCCCAAACTACAAGCAATTATTCACTACTGCATGAGACCAGATTAGAATATGCAGGCAGAATGTTTTCCCCTGCTGTCCTCTAGCGTATAAGGGACATGCAGACCTAACTGCCCTGCATGGTTTTGGGGTTTTTTTCATCAGCTTAGAACCCAAGAATTCTGAGACGAGGAAGAAAAAAGCCAGGTGGCCTTCCTCACTCCCATGGAATAGCTAGGGAACATTTCAGAAGGTGAACCTTAGTGTACTAAAGCAGTTTTTATGTATCACTTTTGCTGAACACAAAATACTGTGATAATGACAGCTACACTGAGACACAAGTCACACTCATTTCAGAATCATTCATTTAAAATACCTCAGCTATTGTTAGGAAAAAATAGAACTTACACATGGAGGTAACAACAGTTCAATGTCTTTGTGCAGAGCTTTAATCCAGGAGAGTGGAATATTTTCTTCATTTCCATAATCTATATAGAATACTTGTGCTTTCTTTTGCACTATATCCACATCTTTTATCAGTGCTCTGTTCCAGGTCTGCATAGAAGTGATAATTTTAGTAAGAACACAACATATTTTGCTTTATCAGGTTTGTTTATCAAAAGGCACTGACCAATTCTGAAGTGACTCAAATGAACACAACTCACTGTAGCGTTAACTGCTGTGAAGATAAAGTTCTACTCCTATGGATATTGGCTACTGTACAGTAAATCAAGAACTGGCTAACAATGGAGGAGAAAAAGGGGAAGAAATACAAAAAAAGGCATGGGAAGGGAAACAGAAACTAGATGTGGCTATAGAAATGCAACCAGAAAAGTCAGGTAAGACAAGAATAACTTCCTTAAAAAAAGCAGTCATATTCCAAACTGTTCTCACTACAGTATACATTTGCTAAGAACACACACAGCCTTCAAGCAACAGTAGGACAAACAGCACCTGCAGGGTTCAAGTACATAAACACATAGAAGTAAACTTTTTAGAGGGGAGGAAAAAAAAAATCAGTACCTTAAATTTGAGTTCCAGATGTTATAAAGTTAGTTACTACCACAATTCCACCATAATAAACTGATCTCTAACTAGCAGCCTTCACTGGTAGAGACATAAGCAAAACATGCAAAACATGAGCTCAACATAGAATGGTTATTTTATGGACAATCATATGTTACCTGATCCAAAGAACACCTTGCAACGCACACTTCCCCTTTGATAGCACTATATTGCTCTTGAATAACTGTCTTAGCATAACAGTCTTGTAGTTTCACAGAAAGCTTACTGATCTGGTCTAAAACTTCTGGAGAACTCATCTGTATATAAAATTCTCTTGGACTCTTGAACTCTGTTACTGTACCCTACAGAGAAAAGCCATAGTATATGTTAATTATGCAAGAACAACCTACCATACATTCAGGACTAGCGTTCATTTCAATAAATGCATTTCAACCAATACCTGATTTTGTTCTTTTGTTTTGAATCTAGCAGTAATTAACTGCAGGGAATGAAACCAGCTATGTTGACCTTCACAGTAATAATCTTCCTCACTTACGCACCCTGCCCCCACTTGCATTTATTCATCTTTATAAAACTAAAGGAATTTTACATGCAAGCAAAATGAGACAAAGCTGAGATGACACACAGCTATATATGCTTAACACAGCTTCAAATGCAACCTAACAAAGCATTGTAAGATTTTTCCAAAATAAGAGTACCTGTACTTCCATAGCTTTTTTGATCCCTAGAGTCTGGAGATCCGAAAGCATTATTTTCTTGATGTGCTCTTCTGTCTTGAGGGAATCCACAGAAGTTGAGTTACCCTATTTAAAATAGCTACAAGTTACGTTTAACTTACAGAGTTTCAGTTGTAGCTCCTTGTAATAACAAATGAAAAGAGAACTTTTTATCATTTCAAGAAGCATGTAAAAAAGTGCTTTTGTTGACTTTCAGTAAGAGGTCTTACAGGTTTTGTATTAGTCTTGAAAAGAACTTAAAACATTATTACAGAGATACAGTGAACAGACAATGGAAAACAAGTGCTGAAGTCTCACACATTCACCTCTTCCTTTCACACCTGTTTTACAGAACAACTCAGCTATATTTCCTGCTTGTGATGCTCTCATAAATAAGAGGAATTTAATTCCACCTGCTTCCTTGTAGCCTTAACACCACAGAGTAGATTATAGCTACTGCTTTAACTGCAGGCATTCATTTTTTTAAAAAGTCTAAACATTTAGTGCAACCTGCCTAATACATACCATCTGCATCTGTGACATCCTAAACACATTAGAAAAATAATCTTATACACATCGTTAGGTAAAAGAGGTTTTTCATTTGGACCAACATAATGCAGACAACACACAATGACTAAAATTACTGCTACAACTCCCAAATTAATTCTTTACTTGGAACAAAGATCCTTCGAGTATTTTCCATAAAAACACATCTCAGTACAACAGTAAAATACATTAAAGATTGTTCAATATGCAATATAAGCTCTCTTCCTTCTGCAGAACTTGAGATTCAGATGAACCAGGGAAAAATAAAACCTCCTGTTAGGTCAAAGTAAGTTTGCTACAAATTGTTTATTCGTATCATACAGCCTCTCGATATAAAGGTCCCTCACTACCAGTTGATCAGTTTTACTAGAACACAGTCACAAGTACACAAAGCAGAAAGCTATCAAGATGAACTAACAGAAGTTAAAGGCACAAAATAAAGCCTCCTTTCTAAATTAAGTTGTTAAACAGATAAATGAGCTACTTCAAAAAAGTGCATGACACAGAAGTTTTCTTGTACAGTGCAAACTTGAGGCTAGTTGGAGGTATGCACATTTACTTGCTTTCATAAATATCATCCCAAGGAACCATGAAGACAGCAAAATAATCTCCTGCAGAAGAGTTCATAGAAAGACTACAAGAAATGTTTGACTGAAAGTAAGATTCAAGAGAGGCTTCAAAACATTACAAAGGAGAACTATGTCACATTCAATTCCTGCTACAGCAAAGAAACAAAAAAAACTTATATGCATCTGTTACTACACAATACTACATTAAATATATTTCTGAAATAATTTATAAGGCTCCAAGCATCAGTTTGTGATCTACACAGAAAACAAGACAACACCAGATTTTTTCCAAATTGGACAAGCTACATCTGTTTCCTTCCTAAAATATTTCTCTAGCAACATCATACATGTCTTGATTTTTAACCTTTTCACAAATGTTTTTTCAAACAAAAAATGATTTATCTGATAGGATTGCTAAGGGCTCTAGAAATAACATTTTTGAATGCTTCTCCCAGTAACTTTTGATTTGAAGCACTGATGTTTCTAATAAGAGTAAATTGGAATTTGCTTCTTTCCTGTACAGGTTAAATTAAGCATATTGCAACTAGCTCACAGCAGATCCATTCAAGACATAGTGAAAATCATATCACATACTATACCTTAAGATAAACTCCCTTCTCAGTTTTAATAGGTAACTTGCCTCCATTTTTATTACTTACACTGTAATTAAAGAAAAACATGTTAATTTTTAAGAACCAAAGATAGACAAGTAGCATTCCTAACACCTACTCATAAATAAAACAAAAGGCTGTGTTCGTAGTATGGGGGTTTTGTCAACCTTTATTCTTCCTCCAAGGAAATGCACAACAGCAGATTTATTAGTTCCTTGTCACGCAACACTTGGCATGTTTTTCCTGATGCCATCAACAAACTAAATTAATTTTGATGGAAAATGCTGTAGAGTTCTGCTAACACTGTAATCCCAAGCAAATCTTAAGAACTATAAAATCACAAAAAAAAGAAATGTTGCTATTTCAGTTGAATACATAAGTAATAGCCAGATAACATTATGTCAGCTTGTTCCCATGCCCCTCCCATTCACTCACTGTGGCAAAACTTGTGAGGAAAAAAAAAATCTCTCTTGTAAACTTTGATTATGGACACCCAGTTACAGATTCAGTGAAATGCAGTCATCACTCCTTGCTAGAGATTGTTGGCTTAAATCCTCACATCACTCCCCTAAACTATTCTAAACCCAGCCAGTCAATTTGTACTGTGTCATAACCTCATGGTGCTTACTTTAATTGAAACAGATTAGAGAGTGATCTCTTGAGCATCTAAACCAGCATGTCAAAAAGCTGTAACAAGCAGCTAGAGAATGGCCTGGCTGAGACAGCTTCTTCTAATTGCAGCTGTGCTTAAAATATCCATGAGGTTCACCGAGGCTACAGTTAGATTCAAAGGGTGCCTCTTTGGAGTCTGTTAAATGCAATCCATTAACCATGCCACTGCTGAAACACACAGCCTCATTTCTCCTCCCTTCCCTAGTGTCCTGGTTTCAGCTGAGATAGAGTTAGCTTTCTTTCTAGGAGCTGGTATAGTGCTGTGCTTTGGATTTAGGATGAGAATAATGTTGATAACACACTGATGTTTTTAGTTGTTGCCAAGCAGTCAAGGACTTTTCAGCTTCGCATACCGCCCTGCCAATGAGAAGGTGGGGGGTTCCCAAAGAAGCAGGGAGGGGACACAGCCAGGGCAGGTGACCCAAACTGGCCAAAGGGATACTCCATACCATATGATGTCATGCTCAGTATATAACTGGGGGGTGGGCGGGGAGGTGGTTCAGCTCAAGAACTAGCTGAGCATTGGTTTCAAATGGTGAGCAATTGTGCTGTGCATCACTTGTTTTGTATATTCTTTTATCATTATTATTCTCTTCCTTTTCTGTCCTATGAAGCTGTCTTTATCTGAACCCACAAGTTTTACCTCCCCCACCTTTTCAGTTCTCTCCTCCATCCCACTGCGGGCAGGGGGTAGAGTGAATGAACTCCTGTGTAGTTGTTTTAGCTGCCTACTGGGTTAAACCATGACACCTACCTCATCAACAGCAATAACAAAGTCATGTGATAAGCTAGTATTCTTACTGCATGCTCACATAGTTCTGACACAAGTAAAAATAATGCTCTTGCTTTAATTCAAACTACAGAACACCTTAAGAACTCCAACAGGATCTTTCAAGTTACCCTTCTAAAGCAGCAGAGCCGAGTTTTCTGACAAGTATGAGACAATGCAGTACTAGCCTAAGAATAAGCAACGTATTTTGCTCCAATCCCAATCCCATGCCTTTACATGGTCATTTAAATTGTATTGGGAGGGATATTGTCTTTCTGTAAAGATTTTTTGGCAGAACTTTTAATAAACTTACTTCTGTTTAATTGGCTCACATACAACACTATGCACTGGCCAATCTTTCTTCTGACAATCTGCAGAGCAATAGTATATTTGCTTGCATTGTGAACATCTGAGGGATCCTAAAAAAAAGAAACAGTCAGAGAGAAACATTTATATTGGAAGAGACAACAGATCTTAACATACAGACTCCATGTATTATTTAATAACTGCTTTACTACATGGTTCCACTACAGTTATAAGCACATAGAAGTAAGTATTTGTATTCACATACAACTATCAGACATTGCTGACCCAGATATCCCAAATTTCTTCTATATTTAGGAAGAAAAAATAAAACATTTTTCATTAGGGAGATACTCTGTTCTGTTTATCAGTTCCATAACTCCAACTATGTTCTGAATAGTCACTATACTTGCACCCGAGATAAAAATATACATCCATTTTAAGACATTTCTAAGCAAACCTTCTGATCTGGTTTCACTGATAAGCATACTATGCATCACAGACTACAGGACAATAGGCACTTACCAAACAGACCACAATGATGGCAAGTCCTCATTTGAGGGGGTGATGTTAATGAACTAAAAAGACTCTTATCATAGCCAATAGAGAAAACGTTTTCAGAGGAATATTGCGATTTCTTTGGCTTCTCATGAATCAAATCAGAATGCGACATCTGCGGATGAAAAATTTTAGGTGAATCTTACCAGAAAAAGAGCTGCCCATTGGGGAAGAAATATTCTAATATACCAAAATGCAACAACAAAAAGAGTCAAAATTTCAGACTTCAAGAAAGAGCAACGTATGCTGATCATTTCTGCTGTCTAGAAATGCTCAGAATATTTGGGGCAATTATAAAGGGCAATAACTCACAGTATTTCCTTCATCAGCTGCAGTTCTCAACAGCATGTTCCCTCTACCAATTATACCTTCCATGGAACTTCCTAGAAGCAGAAGTATTTGCAAAAGGATCTGATGAACAATGCTAATACATGCCTGTGTTATCAAGTATTTGCAGGAAGACACAAGGCTCTTATCTACTCCCACTCTTCTGCTAGCATGTTTGAACAAATGGAGATGCTAGGACCATGACACACTCTGGAAGTCACTTCTTGTTATCACTCTGATACTATGTTTATTCAAACCTACTATCAGTGGTATTATTAAAGCAACAGTTTCACCACTCTGTGCTTATAATTCAATATAAGTCCATCCATAATTGTTTCAAATAAAGTTGTTCAGCA